ATAGACATATTTTACTTCTTTGGGTTATTTGGATTCTTCATTATTATTGACTGCTTCAACTTCCTTATTTTTCTTCGACCCTTTTAGGACAAAAGGTAGAGATACAATATTTCAACACAAATAAATAGGGTGAAAACACAAAGTGAAGTTAGTAAGTTCTACAAGTCCTTTTATTTCACCTTCTTGGATGGTGTATATGACTTGAGTGTGATCAAGATCAATGCTTAAAGGTTGTTTGAATGTGTGTATATTGTACTTACTCGAAACTACTCTTGGGCTGGTTTTTTCAATTCACTGTTTAAAGTTGACAAAAAACCATAAAGCAACCAGTCTGGAAATGGCCGTCAAAAAGCTAAGTCAAATTCACAACTTGGTAATGGTGAAATTTTGGGAAGGTGAAATTCCAAAGAACAACTATACCTATATTTTATATAAGGAGGAAACTTAAGTTTGGGGACTTTGTCAATGATTTTTTATTTCAAAGTAGAAGTTGCCTCATAAATAGTTCGACTAAGTTGACAAGGATTATACACAATTTCAAAATGACGTTGAAAAACTTGAATTTCCTTTATGTGTGTATATTAAACGTTTTAGAAGAGTCGAGTGATCCATATAGACATCAAGAAGGTCGGCTAACCACCATTTTTCAAACTTCTTTGTGCAATAATAAGAAGCTTGAAATTCAAAAGGGGTTAGGGTAATGACTTATTTGGCATGAAAGTATAAACATGCTCGATGATTTTCCTCCAACAGTGTAGTAATGACCAAAGTGATTTCGTCTTTATGGATAAAAAGAGACTTTGGTAAAAATTTGCTAAAGACAAATTGTCTGGCCACCAGGTTTGGTTGATAACTAAAAAGACCTAGGCCTACTTTCCTCGTTGAAATTTTAGTCGATAGGATAGTAGGTTTAAGGAAAGATACCCAAATGTCGATGGCTTTGGAATGGTGTTTAGAGGAAAAAGTTAGGAATTCTCTTTTAAACCAATTTGGCCCATAACTTCGACTGGTAAATGGTGCCATAGAGGAGACGTATGTAGCACAATATACATACTATTTACTGTTGTTTTTGGTAAATCAAACCACAAATTTTCATTCACTTACAGAATTAAACTCCAAAAATCCTAGGACATATTGTGCAAAAGATTTGAGAAAATGTGTTTGTGCTTTGAATCTTAATGTTTAAATGTCTAGAATTTAAACATAAACTTTATACTAAGATAATGCATAATTGCTTCGACAATAAGGAATAAATAGAGAACATGAAAATTATTCAAGTAAATGCTTCAAATTTAAAGAATTAAAAGAATGGATGCAAATTCATACATCTTTTCACAAACTCTTTTTTCTCTATAACTTGGATACTTAAGTTCAATGGAGAATTCTTAATAAATTTTGCGGCCTTTGTTTACATCACTTAACTCGTCTTATATATTATTACAATGTTAATTGTCGATAACGGTTACCTTCATAGAAATCGACACGCACTGCCTTACATGGGCTTTATCCTTCTAGTCAGCTTCCATGTGTCTTCGACATTTGAACCGTTTTGAACTAATTTTGTTGTTTCAAACCGTCTTTTAAATCTCCTAACTTCTTCTGTGGAAAGTTTCCTTTGTCCACCCTTGGAGCATAACGTCAAAATTCTTTGGCTACTTGTACTTTGCATGTGAATTTATCTCATTCCCACTTTTATTCAAATATATCAAATCATCACAAACCTTTTCGAGATTCTGCACATGCTTTGAAGACAAAATGATCCTAATCTTTTCAAGATTCTGAACATGTTTTGAAGAGGGAATAATCATGAGATTCGTCCAAACTGGGCTTGGTAGGTCTCTAAGTTACCTAACCCTTGAACCCAAAAGTAGACTAAGTCCAAAAACATCTTATAGGATAGTCGAACTCACCTCTTCAATCAAAGTTATCAAAATGTTTAAACTATAACTAGGTTGTTTTATACTCATTAATCTCGCACCTTTAGATCACACCTTAATTGTCGAAATACTACCCCCAAAATTCCCAGGCTAACACGTGCATAAAAAAGTAGTCTCTGAAGGCTTCTTCAATCGAAACTCCAGTGTATTCTAGAGTACACAAATAAATTTTAGTGCCTTCAACCCTTATATCTTTAACATGTTTTTCCAAATCAGATGGGATGGTGACTTTCAGAAAAGGTTCAAAGGTGGCATTAAACCAAAGTTGCAAGAGTCGCATAAGGCCAGAGGTTAAAATTTTGTCGTCAAGATGGGTTATGAATTTTAGTTCAGATGAAGAAAACCATAGGGATTCATAAAATGAACCTAAGATCAGCTTGCTAAGATAAATGTTTCTCCCCTCGTGGATCTGAGTTTCCAAATCTATAAACTTCTTGGTTATTTACAGAGAACTATAGCAAAAAAATGAAATGGGATAGCCAGAGGGTGAGGAAAGTAATGTGCTCATAGTCAGAGACCTCCTCAGTATTCTCATGATGGTATTCAATATAATTACTGAAGTCTGGATGGGTGAAACAAAATTATATTTAATTTTGTGTTTGAGAGTGGAATCGAGGTATCCCTAGTTAATTGAAGACCAGTAATAGCATCCACATCAAAAAGACTGGGAGTTACCATTCTACAACAAATTTGAAAGGTGTTGGTTGAACCTTCCCAAAAATAAAACGCTGAAATGAGTATGTGGCCGTTATTTTCAGGACCAGTTATGGGCAACTGAATAAAGTTAAATATCCCTTGGCCTTTCCAAATTCATTCTTTCTTCCTTTCTACCTTGTTCAACCAATTTATATAAGTTGCATTGTTGATAGAATGAGAGGATTGGAAGACACGGTGGGGTGAATCCATAAAACTTAACTCATAGATCATTTCCTCAAATGTGAGAAGTTTACAAATAAGGGAAGATTTTCCTTAACTTAGCAGGATTTACAAAGGAATTGGAAAATGGAACAAAAAATGCATTAACATTACCTGCTATAGAAAAAGGGATTAATATCTGGGAAGCCCAGATGACAACCTTTTCTTTCTCCATTGATGGCTCAGGGATATTTGTGTGATTTCCAGAGAGAATAGAAGCGGTAACATCAATAGCACACGATACTAGAATTTTTTTTCATGCCAGAAGAAGCCATTATTTTTAGAACGTGAGTATAAAAGGAAAGAAAGTTCCAGGAAACAAAGTTTTGAAGGTTGTAGAAAAATGAAAACTCTTAGGGTTTGGAGAAAAAGAAGTTGCGAAAAGGAGATATGAGAAAATAAGGGTGTATATGTAGTTGTACAACAAAACTCTTCAATTTCCCCCTTGAATTAAAAATCCACTAACGTTTTAAAATTTGGGTCAAAATCATTTAAATGATTTTCTTTTAAAAGCGGTTGATTTTGTGGCCCACGTTGCCATTGGAAGTTCAAATCATAATGGTGGGTGCACACATGTAAACCGACGTGACAACTAAGTGGTATAGGTCATGATGAGGATGACAATGTCGAGAGTTTGATAAAAACACCGCTTTTCTTCCATTTTGTAAACATGATCAAAAGTGGCATTTTCGGGAGCATCTGCTAGTTTGTGATTTTCAACTCAAGCTGCACTAAAATCCACTAAGTCTGGTTTGGAAGAATCTTAATAATAGATCCACAAGATCACACGCACATACTCTCTCTCTCTCTCTCTCTCTCTCTCTCTCTCTCTCTCTCTCTTCAAAACATGTTCAAAATCTCGAGAAGATTTGTAGTAGTTTGGCATATTCGATAGAAATAGGGTGTGAGATAAATATGCAAGCTAAACATAGGTAGCTAAAGTGTGGTTCACAGAGAGGCAGTTGAATGACTTGGAAATGTTTCTTGACAGAGGTGGCAGTTTCGTAGCAGTTCAAAGGCTGAAGACACATGGAAGCAATGTAGTAGACGAAAGGTCGCGTAATGGTGTACGTGTCGAGTGCTAAAGAATTGACCATTGTCGACGGTTACTAATGTACTTATATATAAGTCAATTTAATATTTGTAATAAGAATTCACATTTTTCATTATTGTCCTTTATAGAATTCAAACATCCAAGTTATAAAGATACTAAATTTGTAAAAAAAAATATATAAATTTACGTCTCATTTTTAATTCATGCATTGTATTCAATTGACTTTTATTATTTCTTTTCATTTACTTTGCTATTTGAACAACTTACATTTTAATTTTGAAGTTTTTATTCGATTATCCCACATTCAAACGATTAATTTTCAAGAACGAACACATTATCTTAAACTCTTTTGTACAATATGTCTTTAAATTTTTTTGAGTTTTTTTGAGTTTAATCTTATAAATGGATTAAAATTTATGATTTGTTATTATAAAAATTAATTATAAACATTTATTTAATAAATATTTATGCTATAAAATTAAAATAAGTTGTTTATCCAAATACACCTCTAATATCTCTATAATACGTGATACCGAATGCATTTAACATCTCACAATTTAAACATGGGGAGTACTTGAGTTTAGATATGTGATTAACTTTGATTTAATTTAAATTGAAAAAAAATTAATCTGTTGAAAAGACTTATAACAATAAATAATCAAATCTATAAACACAAATTAGTTTTATGCAATTTGTAATATTTTAAATCTACTCAGTCAAAAATTATTTTTCAATTATTTTTTTGACCAAATTCAATTTTTGTGTATTTGAATTTATTAATTATATGGCCACCACGCAAGCTACAGTTTGGACTTTGGTAAAAAAAAGCAAAAGTAAAAGACATTGCGAACTGTTTCTATGGCGGCGTAGGTAAAACTCGAGGAAGCTTCGCGTGACATCTATCACGCATTTTTTCTCCAACTTCATATAAAAACCCCCTCTCTACGTCCTGTCATTCTCATTCTCACACTCACACTTCACAACACAACAATTCTTCTTCCTCATTAAAAACATCTTTCTTCGCTGCCTTTTCGTAACACCATTTCACCCTCCAAAACCAGTAAGGAATATTCAATATTCATCATCGTAACAGAATGTGTGGCGGTGCTATCATCGCTGACTTCATTCCTCGCCGTGGAGGTCGCCGCCTTACCGCCTCCGAGCTCTGGCCTAACTCTTTCGGGCAACAGACTGACTCCTCCGACTTCGGTTTTTCTGGTATTGATCAACAACCACCCAGTACTCTCAAAAGATCAGATCCTCCTAAAGGTGAGTTTCTAGTATTTCTTTATTTATCTCATAGTTGACAGAGTTATTATTGTTTTCTGATTGGGGTTTTTCATCGAACAGTTAATGAACGAGTTGAAAAGCCTGTGAAAAAACAGAGGAAAAACCTCTACAGAGGAATCCGGCAGCGTCCATGGGGAAAATGGGCTGCGGAGATTCGTGATCCTAGAAAAGGCGTTCGTGTTTGGCTTGGCACATTCAACACTGCTGAAGAAGCTGCTAGAGCTTACGACAAAGAAGCTCGAAAAATCCGCGGCAAAAAAGCTAAGGTTAATTTCCCCAACGAAGATGATGAGTATTCTATTCAAACTCGTCGTCACGGTAATAATCCTAATCCTAATCCACCACCTATTCGACCACCGAACCCGAATCATTCTCTCTATCATCATCAACAGCAATATCCAAAAAATCTGAACCTGGAGTTTGGTTATGATCTGAACCGAACTGAACCGTTTATAATATCCGGTTCTGGTGGTTCTGCTGGTGACGAGAATTCTGTATATGGATCCGGTTCATGTTCTGAGGTTGGTTACTCTGTATTAGAGTTCAATGGTTCCAATCAAAATGAAAACGGTTATTTCGGTGGTGTTGTGGTGAATGAACATGAGAAAGAGAAGGAGAAGGAGAAAGAGAAAGTGAAGGAATCAAAAGAACAAGAACCACTTGTTGTTAGTGTTGATCAAGCTGAAGCTGAAGCGGCAAAGAATGAAGTTCAAGAATTGTCTGATGAGTTGATGGCGTACGAGGACTACATGAAGTTTTATCAGATTTACTATGATGGACAATCGATGCCACCGAATATTGTTCAGGAACATGTTGTTGGGGATTTATGGAGCTTTGATTGATAGTAAAAAATAATAATAACTGTCAAGACAGAATTTTCCCATTCTTATGATTCGGTTATCTCTATTTTGCATATTAGGATGGATGGAATTGTAAATTTGGGTACTTGGTTAGAATTTGTGTCATGAATTTTCGATTTATTTCTTGTTTTTTTGAGTTTTGTTGGCCTTTTGGTCATGTCAAGTTTTGTTCAATTGTATTTCTTTGGTGTTTTACCAGATGAAATTAACAATGTTTCAATTCTGAATTCCGATTACAATTTTTGTTTACATTATTATTTTTTATTTCACTTGTTTGTTGTATTATGTCGTTCGTTTTCGTCGAATAACTCTTAAATTTACACTAATTTAATTATTTTTTAACTCAGCCTAAACTAATTTATTAAAAAAAATTAAAATTTTTTGAGGTATTCCCTAACTATTATTAATTAAGGAAAATAAATCGTGTCTGTGTTTTATTTGTTGACAGAGACTGTTGATATTATTTTACAGTGTATTGGCGTTTCAATATGACGAAATTTATAAAATGAACTTTTGCTTAGCAAGCTCCCAAGAAGTTGTTGCAATGTTGAAAATGAATAAAATTAGTTTTATAATTAACTAATTTATTTTGCATAATTCTCGTTAAAGAAGTTTTTCTTTTTTATTATACACTCTTGTCCTTATAATAAGATTTACTTTGGAGATTGTTGTCTTAAATATAAAATTATTTTTAAATTTTTTGCATGTATATTAATGATTTATTACTAAAAAATGCTTTAATTTATCATTAAAAAAACTATTATTTCCTTCTACTATATGATATAAATAATTATGAACAAGAATAATTAAGATTTTTCCAATGATATTAAGACACTCCTTTAAAATAATAGTGTTGGGGAGAAAGTTGATAGAGTAAGTATAGTAATGGTTGAATGGCGCAAGTGATGGCGATGTAAAAGAAGTGAAATGAAAAAGGCATAAAAAAGAATCCAGTGGCGCGCGCAGCTGGTTTTGTGTTGTAAAGTGGGCGGTTTCTGTTTCAAAAAAATAAGCAAAACAACGGACGCCGCACTCAATGGGCGCATACGGGTTCAAGAAAACTTGTAGTCGGTCTTTTGCAAAGGGTGTAGTAGCATACTTTTGTACTACTCTTGTTAGGGTGGCCAATGGCCAAGTAAGTCTCGTCTTCTTTTGTTTTATTCATTATTCTTACCACCAACTCACATAAATCAGACACACGCATCCCAATTTTTAAGAAAAATATAATTTTAGAGTATGTAAGCCTACAAAATTTAAAATATCCTATAAACTAATAGATTATACCACATTATATTATACGCCTTTTATTTTATTTTTTTATTAATACGATAAATAGTTAAATAATAAATATTATAATAATAAATAATTATTTATTTAAAAATTATATAAATTATTTTTTTAACTATTTATTTATTTTTAAATTAAAGAATATAAATATAAAATTATATGATTAATTAATTTCATAATTTTATTGAGAAAGTTTTATATATTATTAAACAATTTTGTTTTACTACTATTATTTTCATTTTTTACGCGTTGTTTATCAATAATTTCACATTCATGACACTATTTACCATTATTATTTACATACTGTTCATGATATGATTCATTATTTATATATTCACCATATTTGTTAATAATAAATACAACGAAAACGTAAAAAATGATATAGAAATAACATATTTGAAATTAATATTAGTGAAAAATTTATTTGACAATAGCATGTTATAGTTTATTTTGTAAATAAAAAATATTTTAACAAATTATTTTAACTATACAATTTAAAATTTATAATTGATTATTTTTAATTTATTTTACTGTTTTAATTAAAAAAGTATTAATTGAACATTTTATATTTATAAGTTAATTTTGTTTTCATAATTGATATTATCGGTGAGATGATAAAATAGTGTTTTGTTGCGGTGGACTAGACTAACTTGTAAGGTTTATACATAAGAATTTGAAATTCTATTTTTTTCTTCATGTAGGATCCTTTATGTATGAAAGTTGGCTAGGGTGTTCTAGATCTGGTTAAATGTGGGCTTTCTCTTATTGAGCCTTTGTCTGATTCATAACAGTTGCCTCCAAAGCTTCTTGCGGAGTGGTAGCGATAAGCCATTGTGGGAATTGGTCTGAGTTCCATGCTCTAGCATCGTTGCTTTAACAAGTGAAAGATGTTTGACAATCGACGTAAATAACTTAGGGAGAAAATGTGTTAAATGTGAGTCTCGTCATTGAGACGTTTCACATTATCTCTTTGATACATGGCCATAGATTTCTAGACTAGGAAGTGGTTCCTCTTCTTAGGATGCTCAAATGTACTTAAATGTCATTGTGTTTTTAAGGAAAAATTCACAGTTTCTTTTTTCCTCTCCATTTTCTTTCATTTTGAGCCATGATTGATTTACCTCGCTTTTCTATATAAGGGTCACTTGGCGTTTTAAAACTCATTTTACCCTTGTATGCAAACTGCAAGTTTCTTTTACACATTTTAATTTTCTCTTCTAAACTTCGACAATACCCATTTCATCAACCTTTTTCTTGCATTGGGTCATACATTCCTTGGCCCACCGCATATATTGATTCATTTTCTTTAACTATTATCTCTATTTTTTACTCTCTCAGGTGCCATTTTTCTCTTTCATTTTTATACTTCATTACTTTCGTTTCATCGTTATAGTTATTGCCAGCATAGGAAATATACATGTAAATGTGGCAAATATACCTATTAGCAATGATTCCTCTTGCAATACTGGGATGATGAACCCATGAATGCAAAAGACTGACCCTTTATAAGTCAAACAACCTATTGTAAACCTTATCGTGCTTAGCGATAGTTCTAGGTCTATAGGGGGTTTCGTTGAAGATGGTAGGATCTGTCTAGTTTTCATTCTATTGGAGGCGTAAATGATCCCTCTGAAGGAGATGAAGGGATGGACCATGATAGTTCCACTATCAGGGGTATGGATGCCAGTTCCCTTCCCTTATACAATCTCATGTAGGTTTAGAACATGTTGAGGTTTCCCGGAACGAACGATTGACTCGTTATTTTATTAAAACTTTTAGGGTGGTGAATGGCCAAAACCCTAGTGACATGGAGGTTAGAGTTCATATTAACTTTTGAAGCCATTCACTGATTCATGACCAACATTATCCTTTTCATGATATTAGGGAAGATATGGTTTAAAAGGAACGTCAGGGTTTAGTGTTGCTTGATGATGTAATTCAATACCATTGGATGGATGAGGAATCATTAGGGATGGCTTCATATTTTAATAGTGTCTCATGTTTGGAGGGTGCCCGCACAAATGTGGGGTCATCTTCTGACTGGTTAGTAGGGATGGGAATAAGTCAGGTTGCATCCTATTTACTAATATCTTTAAGAAATAAGCATGGTTTTTAATTCACTGAATCGATTAAACTTGAAAAAATGGTAAGTACAATTTGTGCAAAAAAGTACAACGAAAAGTGTGTGTGATTGAAACTTAGACGTTTGAATGTCGACAAACTTAACATAAACTCTAATTGAAACAATGTAAAATTGTTTTGGAATAAGAGAAGACAAAAAGCATAATAAATATCATAAAAGTAAATGCTTTACTTGAAAGGACTTAAGGAATTTAAAGGAAGGATGCAAACACACATTTCTTCACAAACAGTTTCTCTTTATAACTTGGATACTTTAGTTCTATAGAGAATGAGTGAAGTTTGTGACCCTTGATCACAAAAATGAGATCAACTTATATATTAATACAATGGTTATATCCACAAAACTTGACATGTATCCCCTTACGCGGGCTTCATCCTTCCAGTTTGCTTCCATGTGTCTTCAATGTTAAAACTTCTGTAAAGCACCCAACATGCTGATAGCTGCCTTTAAACCTTCTAATTGCCTCTGTCATGAGTCACTGGTAGGCTTCTATAATGTTTTCTAAAACATCTATAGTTTTGCTTACTTATATACTAAAAATACATAAAGTATCCCAACATCTAATGGACGTGTCGAACTTGACCCTTGTTGAAGTGTTAATCTGTGCAAACCTCTTCGAGATCCTAGATATATTTTGAAGAGAGAATGGTTTTAAACTTGTGGATATGTTCTAGAGACTCTTCCAAACCAAACCTCGGGGGCGTTAAAATGCACTACATCCCATATCATCTGACAAGGTGGCCGAACCATCTTTAGTCGACATGGTTAATATGTCGAAGATATGTTTGAGACTCATAACACTTAGCATTTTCAAACATGGTTATTACCATTCCTTGTCAAATTCTTCATCTAAAATTTCCAGACTAATAGATTCCTCCCAAAAATGAAACTTCCAATCATGTATAAAAGATGAAAGAAAAGTGGCACTTTTAGTAACTGCTCGACACCATTCAAGATAACATGCACACGTCATAGTCATCATGATCATTTTTCACCAAACTGTCACGTCACGAACGTGCGTGCATATTTTCACCATTAATCTGTTTTTCAAGGCGTCATGGGCCACAAAATTGAATTTCAATAAAAGAATCATTTAATTGATTTTTTAAATCATAAAATTGAAGTGACATTTGTCTAATTTTAACGGTGACACTGAAATGTTTCTGTTATTATAAAAACAACTTTCCTCTCACATTTTTCTTTTCTCCTAATTCTCAGGTTTTGAAACCATAAGCATCTTCGACCTTCATGTCTTCATAATCTTATTTTTTCTTCTCAAAAACTCCAAAGAAGACAATGGCTTCCAGCTCCCTCACTAAATGCCAATCACAAGTTCCCTCTACTACCAAACTCAAAGCTCCCATTTTCAGAGATGGTCACACCTACGCCCCATAAACTCCAATGGAAGAAGAAAAAATTTTAATTTGGTTCTCTCATGTACTAATATCTTACTCTAATTCAGGTACTGTTCATGTTTTTATGGGTCCTCTACCCAGGTTAAACAAGAAACCACAAAACTTAAAGATCTTCTTTCCTAGTTTCTTATCATGTA